TGAGGCTTTGAAGGGGTAGAGCAGCAAGAAAAAAGCCATTTAGGTCCTAATAAGAGTTAATGAATGCACTGAGTGGAATTAAGACTTTACATGCAGCAGAAATAAGTAAGAAAAAGCGTTCAAATGGTCCACAACTCAGAAATGTAATCATGTGCCTTTTCAAGCACGTGAGCATTTCCATTAAACTAATCTGCTTTAATTGCGTTAAGCTCGGAGAGACTACTCATATGCTTAAACTCAAACATATGATTAATTATTTCCCTAAAAGAGGGCCCAGTCAAGAAGAATGGATAATGCAAACAAATGTTGTATGTACAGATTTAAGTGTTTCAAGCTATTTGATTCAGCATTCTATAAACTAAAACATTCAAATTAGCTTTTTGGTTGAAAACCTATTCCCTGGATGCAAAACATTCTCAAAAAGCAGCATCTGAATTATTACACAAAATTATTTTGCTGAGAGTCAATAGCTAATAATCTAACAAAAGGTTCAAATATAGTCAATCACAACTAAGTGAAATAGCTCATATTCTATACGTGTGTTCAATATGCTTCAGAAAAGAATATAAAATGCACACTCTTAAGTAAATTCAAGTAGTAAATAGGAGCTGATAACAATTCCTTGCTCAGCTCTTACCAGTAAACTGCTCTTGCAGAATTAAAGTTTCAGACACTAAAGTGACTGTTTTCACACACACAAAAACTCCTACAATGACCAAGTACTTGCTGGCCAGACTGTCACAGGAGCCTGTGATGCATTAATTAGCATTTCTGATTATATTCATTTTGCCTTAAATTATTGGGTATTTTGCAGCATATGAACTTACCCTCTTGAGTTTGTTGCCTCTTGAGTTTATCCTACATTATTGGGTATTTTGCAGCATATGAACTTACCCTTTTATGTTGCCTCTTGAGTTTATCCTACATTTTATTTTGGGGCTGCTATTATTATGTACTTTAAACAGACAGACAGATGTGTCCATACCAGTGTCTCTGGTTCAGCAAGATGCTGTCCGCTATCTCCATTGCAACAAGACATCTGAACCTGAAGAGGTCAATCAGCCCATAGTTTACCTCACCTTATTTTGAGTGAAATGTGAATGTGGAAGGTGAATAGTAAATTCATTTTATAATAAAAAAAGGAACTTTGTTCACAACCTCCTTTTCTATTTTGGCTTTTAAACATGAAGTTCAATGGATGCTGCCTTCAGAGCAGAGCACTGGCTCAACCTGATGCATAGTCTGTACTCACATTTGAGTCAGCATTTGAGAGGACCTGTTGCCATATGGAAAATCAGGAACAATTACTCTAAACAATTACATCAGTTTATTGCTGTCTGTTGCCAAGAGAAACAAGCCTCGTTGGTAATAACCACTTGCGTTGCCAAGGAACTTAATCTTTAGGGAAACTAAATACGCTCCAATACTAGCACTTCTCTAACAGTATGTATCCTTTCTAACTGATAGCATCATGGCTCATAACTGCATCTTTATTCTGGCAATTTCCTGAGGTAACGCCTGTTCAGTCATGGTTGATGGCCTCAGAGGTGTGAGTTGTCACACCTGGCTTGAGAGGGGCACAGAGATGCTATCAGGACGAGCTGGGCAGCTTAGGGCTGCCCTCATGGTCACGGGAGAAACCAGAACTTTTAAGGCAAGTGAGACGAACACTTAACAGACAAGATCCACTGCAAGGTGGAAGCACCCATTTCTACACCCATCAGGGGTCCAGGTGGAGGCATCAGCTTTATGTGCTCTCAAGTCAAGGGAGGTGAATCCAGGCCAGGTGCTCTCCCATACAGGCTGCCAGCGGACATGGAAGCCGGCCCTTGTCAGCACAATTAAACTTTTCCTTTGGCAGCAAAGCCTGGCAAGGGGCGAGCCTGATGACGAGCCTGTTCTGTAAAACCTGTAGGCTGGGATTGTCAGACTACAACGGCTGTTCATGTTTTGAACTCAACAGCAGCTGCGAGCGTGAGGCCTCTTAGTCAGGTGCTTAAAGGCAGATATAAATATTGGCCTGAGTTGCCAAGGAAAGGCGAGCTGGCACTGGCACCTCGCTTCTGCCACAGGCATTTCTGTTGTTCTCCAGCCAGTTTTGCTATGCTTTTCAGTTCATTATCACTTGTAAACTTCGAAACCCTGCTGTTTAAGTGCTATCATCCAAATTGTTGCAGACAGCAACTTACTGTTTTTCATTGTGCTTTCCACTTAAATTTCATTCCAGCTTGCAATGACAGCACTGAAATCCCTCTTTTTTTCCCTCTCAAGTTTATTGGATTGAGCAGGCTTCCCCTCCACAGCTCCTTGTACTGCAGTTCTCATTTTCTTTTGTCTTTGGCTTTCTGAAACCATGAACACAAGCCTAAAAAACCCCACTTCTGCCTCACATCCCACTTCACTGCAGCAAACAACTGCAACATGGTGACAGAGCGCTTTCTTGTCTCACCAAAATCACACTGAGTCATTTTAATTCAGCTGTGTTGCTAAGAAGTGTTTGATAAATTCTAACATATTGCAGTTTTCCCCATAGCTAATATCAAGCGAACTGCACTATTCAGATGGAGGCCTGACAGGCCCTTTATTTAAGGCTCATATTACACAAAACATTTTGCAGTCTTCAGTGATTCCTCCCTAAGCCAATTGAACTTGTTAATTCAAAAACTATCTTGTAGTCCTTGCTGACAGCAACTTGACAGAAACTACAGAGCTTATTGCATTTTTCTGATTTCTCTGTGCTCCCTGTCACTGATTCGTTTTGCTGTACTTATCCACTCTCACATGTTAACAACCTCTAATCAACATCTAGGATCCTTTAGTGGTTGGAGGCATGGTTTTTCCACTATGAAAAACATCTCCCGTGTGAACAGACCCCTCTTTTGTTTTGCTCTCTTTTTTTGGAAAATGGTACCATGGACAGAATGATTTCACACTAGACTTAGAAACTTCTCACCTGTATAAGGAATAGTGATAACAAGAAAATGAAATCCAGTGTTACAAAGGCCTTATATGTCTCTTTTTTCCAACAGACCAGTTACTTTCTCCCTAACATCCTCTGTACATTAAACTCTAATTCATCATGCCTCAGTGCTATGTTCAGTCAGCATATAAATACCCTCTGAGATCTGATTTGGACAGCTATTTATGTCCCTCTCATTTCAAATTTCTTCTAAGGACCCATTTTTGTAATGATAGCTGCAGAAAAAGAGCTATTCTGTATGTTCTGTTTACCTTCAATTATATTTTATTGAATTAATTTAGTTCTATGAGGAAAGTTGTTCTATCAGAGCATATTGCTGCTTAACCAATAATTAAATGATTGAATGCTTCCAGGTATATCTTCCTGTGGATTATAATTTTTCTCCACCACCATCACTTTTGTTAGGTCAAATCCTAAAACTGTATTTTAAAAATTACTTGGCACAAGGGGCATCTCTTAGCCAGGGAGCCTGGAGAAGTCACATTTTCAGTACAGAGCTCCAGCATTCCAAATCTATGGCTGATAATATTCGAACCAAGGACATATACTCCTGATTAAACTAATCTCTTCTTGTTCCTAGACCAACCATTCATAAATTTTTACTTATGTACACAGACATAGTTTTCATTTAAAAATTAATATATAACAGTGTGCAGGGTACCGTGTGTATTGAATCAACTCTTTGTAATAGAAGTAAGGAAATATCTAAGTACATAGAGCAATCTGTGTACCTACTTCTATTTATGGAGGTTGTTCCTTTGTCTTCGTAATTCTAATAGTTTATACAAATTGGCATTGACAATATACAGTTATCTGCTGCTTAAGGTTCTATATTTCCTTTGTATTTCTGAAGGTCACAGGGACTCGGCCAAACCTGAAACAGTAATTTTAATTTCCAGTCTTTTCATCTCACTACAATGTAATTATCTTATAGATTTTTGTGTGGACTTATTTACTGTTTTTCTTTTCCTGTTGGATAAGTATACAATAACTAAACTAACTTCAATTAGGTAACTGTCACCAATATTTAAAACTTAATGGCATTTTAAAAATTACCTAAGTAATCCAAGCATAAAAATTATTCTTTATGATACCATTTCAGAGCAGTGGCACCAAATCTTTATCATACAATAGCCTGTGACTCAGAAACATTAAACACAAACCATCATCACATTTTTCTTCCACCTAAGTTATATATTCTTTGAGTTATATACAATGTCCTTTCTATATTTGGACTAAAGCATCTTTAGGAGATACAAAATACAAAATGGAATATTCAGCATTTTACTTGAAGCTCAGTATGTTAAATTATCTTCTTAGCTACCCATATGTAATTCTATAGATTTTAGAAATCAGAATTCGTCCTTGTGTATTCAGCTGCAGCGATGTGTCTACCTTTCATTTCCCCTCTAGCCGTGCTAGCGCAGTATTTTAAAGACGATACACTCTCAGAGAGGCCACCATCCCAAAAAGCTCAAGGCACCTTGATATAAAGACATGCTTGAATTTAAGCTCACATATAAATCCATCATGAGTCTGTGTGCTTTGCAGTATCAAGAGAGTCTTAAAGATAAGCATATGCCTAAGTATTATGCTGAACTGGGGCTAGAAACAAGGTTTATCCTCTGAAGGAGCAGAATAGTTGCAATACCCCAGAACAGATTAATGATGCTCTGTGAGATTTATCTCTGAATACAGCAGGAAGAGGAAAGTCTCCATTAATAAAAGGGAAAATCATGAATCAGCAAATGCTGGAGCCTGTAATAAGCAAGCAGGAAAACATTTTAGCTCGTGCTGAATCACAGGTTTCATCCTGTGCAGCATTCAGCTTTCATAAAATATAGGTTAACTGGCTGCATTCAGGAGAATGACATCCTACCTTTAACGTTATTTGCTTTTTACTAAAAAGGAGTGATATCAGTGTTCTGGGAGAAGTCCATGATACGTATCTGTATGATATAACATTGCTAGTGTGAGATTATTAACTTGTTACAATATACTTTGAATGAGAAAAACTTACTTGAAGGCATTGGCATCTCCATGGACCTTATAGTTGTCTGCACTGATTCTTGAGATAACTCTTGTGACAGCAATGAGAATACCAATATTGACCTGAAGAAGAAGAAGGAACAAAATGACTTCGTCAGGAAAGTAAGTACTAACTGTGTCATTGGTGCAAAATGCCCTCGTAGTGTATTGTACAAATACAGCAGAAAACAGGAACTTTGGATATTGCATTTATTTGGCAAAAGAGGCTTCCAATTTTGGACTGGTATAGTTTGACCCTTGTCAATGAATTTCCCTCTCCCCACAGTGGGTAGTTCTTGCTTGTGCTTTCTTTCCTTCAGGAGCAGTCCTTCTCTGTTTAGGATAAGGCTGGATTGATACATTGCTTCACAAGTAAGGAAGTCCTCAGGATCCCTACTGTACAAATAAATACCCTAGTAAGCTACTACCAGCTGACAAATTAGACAAGAACTTCAGTGAACAGAGGCACATGTCTGCATGCTCTTTTGTGTTTTGTGCTTTCATGTGCACAGACTTCAGAAAGCAACTTTCTCGCTAGACTTCATAGTGTACAATTCCTATTTCTTACCAAAGTCTGCCTGCAATTTTAAGCACAAGATTATTTTAAAACAGCAACAAGGAAAATATGCTAAGCTTGAACTCTGCTCATCAAAAGCCCTGAACTTTTTGATGTCAGGCCCAGCAAAAACATCAATAAAATGAAAAGAACTCCCACCAGAAAAGTAGGAAATCTTGAAAAGACTAACACTGAAAATGTCTAACAAAAGAGAGTTTGCTCTGGAGTCGCAAGGTGAAGAAAGAACAGAATCTTTATCACTTAAAGGAAATGTGGCAAAGACTGTCTTGCTGCGCAAAGACCTTGGGTTTAAAGAAAAGAAAAAAAAAAGGAGAGAATGTGAAGGTGAAAGACATATTTCCCCCTTCCTGTCCAAAGTTACACGTCAGCTACGAACCTGATATTTAGCTTGAAGTTAAGAACAAGGGTAGAACAAAACTATCCTGAAATACAGAAGAAAAAGAAAGAGAAGTCATCAAAATAGTGCTGTTGCTCAGTTAAAATTCAATAATCATACTCTAATTTTGACAAAAATATTCTAATTCTGAGGGTGAGAGGGTGAATTAAAAAATGTTTGTGTCTGATGATAATGATTTCCTTGGTATTTTTCAGATCTTCTGACTATTCTTTCAATTTTAGATTTCTAAGGGCAGATCATCACCTGGTGTGAAGTAGGAGCATAGCTGTGACAGTTCATTCCTGCCACGGCTTTTCAGCCCAGCCAAAGAATACCCTGTGGAACCTGAGAGCTTTTCAATTATAAGCGTACTTGTTGTTCAAGCAGCTTTACAGAGATGAACAAGAGCTGAAATTCAGTGATCTTGTGATCCTTTTCCATATTCTCACCAAATCATACTTTGTAAATATCTTTTATAAATTCTTTAAGGTGGAAACGAGCATTTTGAGAAACTCACTTGGATGCTAAATATGCACGTTGACTGAAGCAGCAAACGATGAACGTGTACAAGTTACACTTTCTCTTCTCAGTTTCTCTCTTCTGCTTCTCCTCCAAACTCTCTAATTTTCTGCTGCCTGCTCACCAGATTATCATCAAAATTACTCCAGATTTTCATGGGAATTGCACAGAAAATGCCTCTCTGTACCCTTAACTTCTTTCCTGACACATTATCTTTCAGCAGCCTTTTTTAGTGCTTTATCCGAAATATCAGCCTCCCCTTTTGATGCTTCCTTGTGGATGTCTCACTGACAGACAGTTCAAGTTCATCCTGCACAGTTGCTCCATGATCCCTTTTTCTGATGACTGCAGACAACGGCATGTTCCTGCCAGCCTCACAAGCACTTAACCCTAATGCTTTCATCCATTCCCAATTCTTTTTAGACACTCCCAAATTTTGCTTTCTGCATAGCATTTTTAAAAATATGCAAATAGTCCCCCAAAAAGCCAATTAAGTAAAAAACCCCAAAAGGGTGAAACCTCATTATTGAAATTCTGAATTTCCTCCACCTTACAAAAGTCAATAAAGTTCTGAATGAGAAGCACCAACAAATGAATTCTCAGAATCTTGCAAACTCTCACTCAAACTGAACATGAACCCTAAGATCTGGTCATGGAAACAGCACAAGCAAGATAGTCTCAAAGGAAACAAATTTAGATGGTTTTCTAAAGTACTTTTAATTTCTTTATATAAAAGAAATTAAATTGGAAATTAATTTCCTAGGTATTTCGGATGGTCTAAAGTGGAAATTTAAAAAGCCCTCAAGCTTCCCTTCTTTTGCAGTCAGTGTGACTCTATCCTTCCCAGGGTTCATTAGTAATATATTTAAAAGATGAGAAGGAAACACCGTGATCTCACTGCTGATAAAAACCAAGGTACTCGTAAACTTAGCAACAAACCACTACTCTCAAGTCCCAAAGATCTATATTTATATTTCCAGAAACACTTGAAAATTTTTGTTTAGGTATTTTGAGAAATTAGAGTAATCTCATCCAGCCTAAATAAACAGATTAGCTACAAATGTCTTCTTTTGCTATTATTTCAGTAAGTAAAGTAAAGCATGGAAGTATTTCTACTACCCTTGTAATAGGAAACCAAAATACAGCCACTGAGTTGTTCCTCCAGTGATTTTTCTGGCATCTGACATAGACGCTTCGCCAATGATTTGCATAGGAGAATGCTTAGTTAATTAAACACTCATTATGTTTTAACCTATATCAGCATGTTCATACTAGGAGGATAAATGTTTAGATAGGGGAACTGTATACAGTTCCTATTTTTTACTTTTCTGAATGGCCAGATTACTCGACAGTTGCAGTTATTTTGCTTTAAAATTACATAGCAACTTAGAATATTTTTGCTTGCAGGTACTGGCCATACTCTACTTTTCAAAAAATATAGTTAATAACATTAGCCCTTGTTTCCTAACTCACAGGATTCCTTTCAAGACAGCTTGTCCAACCCCAGGCACTCCCAAGCCTCCATGAAATCAGCAGGAGCTGCCAGTTCCCATTATTGTAGGCTTGATCCAAAGCCCACCAAAGCCCATGGAAAGATTCCAGCAACATCAGGGAGCTCTGGCTCACTCTAGTGACAACTTCATCTGACTAAAAACTGTCAGACCAGGAAGAGAGTTAAATGAGTAAAAAGGGCCTCTTTCAATATCTTTTCTTATCAAAAATTTTTCAGACCAGATACAGTGAGACAATTTTTTTTCCCCTCACTTTTTTTTTTAGGGGTTTCACCTAGATTTCCTCCAAGTCTCATGAGATTTTTGTTTCTTCTTTAGTGCAGTGCAGAAATCCCATGTGTACAACCCTCTGATGTGGTGTGTGCATCCTCGCCAAGAAAAGGCTTGGCAGCACAGAGGAACTAAAAAAAAAAAATGGATAAAACATATTGCCTTAATTAAATCCATTGACCAGCTTTCTTCTAAAACCACAAACTATTTTAGTCTCCACTTCAGTTTTGGGCAATGGTACAGGGAGTTATAACTGACTCTTCCAGTCTGAGGTTTAACATACTCTCTCACGATGAGAGTCAGTTTGATCCTTATCATGACATCATTAGCTGCACACCAGCGCTGCAAGTTGTTGCAGTTGCAGCCCATTGCTAGGTCACGTCAGAAATCATTACTGGGTATTATGCATTTCCAAACACAGCTAGTTGATTAAATTAAATCAGTGATGAAATCTAGGAGAATGATTTTGGAAAGCCTGATTCCACTCTTAGCTGTCCAAGAGCAACTACAGAGCTGAATAGACTGAATCGAGTTATTTTAGACTTCTGAGCACTTGACTTCATATTAGTACACGTAGTATCACACCAGTCAGAGCTGAATATCAGAGCAAAACTTTGAGGCTGGAAAGGAAATACATAAAAAAATAAATAATAAAGAAAAGGTGTAACAGATTCCTGACTTCCACTCTTTCCTAATATTAATCTTTTTTTACTCTCTGACAATCTGTCTCCTTGTTCAAAAAAATGTTGCTTACTTTCCTGTTGGTTAAGTAACAAGAAATTTAATTTTAAAATAATGAAGGAAATTAATTTCAAAATAGTAAAAATGCTTATAACTGAGTGCTAATAAGAAAAAATGAGAAGCTTAGCAGCTGTGGTCTGTTCATTTGGGCTCTAATCCACCACAGCACTTAAGTACTTGATTTCAATGACATCGGTGTCATTGTGAATCCTACTGTTTCAGGGCCTTTAAACACCGTGTGTCCAATTCTGTCACCCTTTCCCATGATGAATGATGTCTAATAAGGGACACAAACTATCCCTTTTCAATCAGTGGGCCAACCTGCAGAGTAAGATACTATTCAACATACACAAATGATCCTAATTCTGTGCTGGTATCTAAAAGTATGAATAAATACCATGAGGCCACAGAACTAAATCATGCATGATCAGCAGGTATAAGGGAGAGAATATTTTTTTATATATAGAATATTCATAAGCAGGTACCATCTGAAGACAGGGATGGCAATCTCAGCCTGGGACCCAAGTTCTGCGGAGCCCCATCTGCAGACACAAGTTTCAAAGCTGATGTCCCCACAGCAGAGAACTGTTTGCAATATGCTAATGAAAATCATTTAGCTCCATAAAAAAGCTGTTTATCAGAAAGACTTGTAAAAAACCAACCAGGAAAATAACTACTTACAGGGAAAACAATAGAAAGGACTTGCCACTACAGCCCAGTATCTCCCCCCCAATGGATTGTTCACTGTCTGCAGCACGCCCACTGCTCTGTGTACACAGATGCTTTCTGCAGAATTTCCTTAATTCTGCCATATCTATGGAAACACACCAAGGCAGCAGATGGTTGATAACAAACAAAGCCAGAAGTTTGAATATCTTTTTCCAAAAATTCAGGTGATTTGTCAAGGTTTTTTGTTTTTTGTTTTTTTTTTTCCTTTAGAAACGGTCCCAGGCCCACTTTGGCTGAGATTATTTGGTTTTCAAACTAATTGCAGCAATTTTTTGCGAAGCTGCCTTAAGAGGATGCTATAGAGGCTTGAGTGTTGTGGTCTGGGGGAGAGTGATCTTTAAACCTGAAGATGAAGGTAGAAGCCAAAAGACCTACACATAGAAGGAACTATTTCTTTCATCACGGCCCTTGACTCATGCCCCAAGGAAAGAGCACTTTGGGTATGGAAATCCGTATAGGGCTGGGAGGTTCTGTGAATTACTCCCTTGAAAAGTATGCATGAATATTTTTTCCCAGTCACACTCCCACCACATCATGCTGTTCTAAGGCTCCGTGATGTCTATATTGCCTGCGAGGCTGAGGCAGGACAGAAGTAGACTGTGTCTTCCTAGTCTCTAGAGAGTGGGAGTTGAAAAGAGCAGTCTCCCTGTTTTCTTCACAGCATAATCCTTTTTTTTTGGCAGAGGGAAACTGTGGATGGAAGTAGTCAAAAACTGCTTTTTGAAACGTATTTTCAGAGTTAAACACTAGTTCATGCAATTAGTGGCTAATTCGTTATTTAAAGAGCACAAGCACACATGCACACACAAAATAGTGTTTAGCCTTGTTATTTCCCTATAGGCACTAACACATTTTTCAGCCAGCATATTCAATGCCCAGAGAGAATAATTTGTCAGCTAGCTTGCTGCTATTTTGGGCAGAGCTGGGTTTAGATTATTTAACAAATTGCTCTACGTGGATCAACCTTGTGAGCTCATTTTTTCTCTTTCTCAAAATATTTGTATCCCTACAAGAATATAACTTGAGCTGCACAAATATTATATATCATAAATGAGAGCCAGACGTGTAAACCCTTAATTTCATTGGCAAGGAGCTACGCATGCAAATCGCTGAAGGCTGTGCTCACTCAGGTGAGTAAGCGCTTCGCTATCTGGCATGTTTTGATTAATATCATCTTTGGATGGCAGCTGGGAAAGATTTGATTTTACTGGGTGCATCTCATTTCCTCCTTTGCTGCTGAACAATGGCCAGAAAGCAAGTGCTAATGTGAGGAAGAGACATTTAAATATTAGATTATTTTAATTGCTCTCCAATCATCAATATCTATATAACTTTGCATATAAACTCACATACAGAAGATCCAAGGAACAGGTCAACAAGAAATTAAGTTTCTTGGAACAAAGTCCAGAGCTGTTTGGCCAGCTCAAAACCAGCAATCAACGTTTCTTATTTGCATGTATATGCTTTCACTTAGGTAAAAGAAACTCTGCCCTTCCTCCACAGGGACTTACCAGTGCTGTCATTAATAATTTGATTAAAATGCTAACATGAGGCAATTTTTGCCACACCAGTATAGCAACTATTTTCATTGTTTTCTTAATATATGTTCATACAGCCTAGTTTTTCTGAGGCTGTATCTTGGGTGGAAGATGCTGGGCTGGGCTGCCTATAAGAGGTGCTGATTTTGCTGTCTCCCAAGCAAATGTTAGGAATGGCCACTTAGCTGCAGTGTAAAATTGCCTGTGAGGGAAAAGGTCAGCCAAGGAGCCACCTTTTGCTTGCCAAATACAGAGATATGCAATGGTAAATACTAGTTCTATATGCATAGCTCTCCTTCCTTCCTCTGGTTTGTGAGCAGGATTTGTGGGGGTTTTTCTGTGTGGTGAAATTTGGGGAAGTTTCTTTGTGCTTTCCATGGAAATCCTCACTTTCTTAGGGAAGTACACGGTACAGTCAGTGGCACCTTTTGATGCTCCTCCATGCAGGTAGTCTGGATCTTATTTTACCTGACCCTCCTTAAACACCACAGCAGGCAGACTCTGGTCTAGATTTGGGCTCATGCCTTTAAAATCTAAGTAAAGTTTAAAGACAACCTGATTTCACTAATCAATGAGTCTATCCCATATTGACAGTGTCACTCTGACATTATAAACTGCAGCAAAAATCGTAGATAACCTGATCAATTCAAGTATTGGAAACAGTGCTGAAGAGGAATAATCTCCTGCTTAATCCCTGCAAACACCCCTGACTCCCTGAGTAATCACAGTGATTAAACTACAGCTCACTGTAATGTAACATGTGGGCACAACAAAACTGCTACAAGCATTCATGTATCGGCACCGGAGCCGTGACCCTGCACTCTGCCCTGGGAAGGTGATGTTCTCTGCGGCTGGCAGGGGTGTCTGCAGCAGCCACCTGAGCCCCAGCAAACTCCCCTTGATCAGCTGGACAAACCGCCATACCTGACATCAAATTCCAAAACCAGAGGAATAGCACAAATTCCTTGTCACTGTAAGAAGGCAGGCACAGCTTGTTACCTTGCCCAGAACTCACCCAAAGGGTGACAGCCCGTGCCGTTGTTTTAACCCATTCCTGCCAGCTGCTGACTGCTCACCAGCTCTGCCGATGATCACCCTCACTGAGGGCACTCAGCTTTACTGGGAAAAGAGAGCTCTCTACAAGCAAAACCTTCAAATACCAGTGGGGTGGAATCAGCCTTTCAGCTTTTACTGGCTGAATCTTCCTGAGAATTATTAAATCTCCCAAGAGTACTCAATTCTACGCAGTTGTTAATGGGCCCAACAGGGCTGTTTCAGGAGAGGGCTCTCCCAGTGTCTGAGGTTGTATTCTTGTCCTGGAATAGTGAAATGAATGGTGTGAGAATTAATATGCATAAACTAATACCCAACTGCGTAAACTATAAAAATCAGAGGAGGAACAAAATAATTCCGGATCATTCATCTCTGTCGTTCGTTTAGTGTCACCGGCCTGGCACAAGGACTGGCATCAGACCTTCAGCCAGTTCTGCGGTGCGGCTGACACAGACAGCTAACAAGAAAACAGCAGCAGCCCTGGGTTTACCTACCAGAATTACAAACAACGCCGGTGCCACAAAAGCCCAGATCGCTCCATTCTCTAGTGAAAGCCAGCAGCTGCAGAGAAAAATCAGAATTATTTTAGAGGAAGCACATGGTCATTTAATGAGTAATATTCTTAATTAAAGAAGAGATTAAAAGAGAGTGCAAAAAGACTGATGAATTTTAAAAGCAAGAGACATGATAGAGCATCAAGAAGCAGCTGCTTTTCCCCTCGCACTTGGGGAATCTGAGGCAGGATCTCATTTTGATTTGTATCTTGCAGAGAGTCAGTGACAGCTATCTGCCCCAGCACGCCTTCAAATAGCATTAGGGGTGGAAAGCTGGGAAGAAAGGAACAGTTTTCTTTGCTATTTGTTGCTCTTGTATCCTGTATCACAGGCACTCACTTCAGTGCTGCGAGCGCTGTCATTGTAGCAAGAGAGAAATTGAAGCCCTCCCTGCCTTGCCTGGCTGGTGGGGAGGGAGAGGCTGGGGAACATGCTGTCAGCTTCCCACATCTGCCTTACAGCAGTGGTGAGATAAACTAGCCTACCGTACACAAAAAAATAACCCTTGCTCCAAATCTCTTGCTTAAATTATGATAGGATCGAATCCTGTGGGTTTTTTTTCAGATAAATTTGCTCTTCTTTTTCCAAATTAGAAAGGAACTTAAAGTTCAAAATTTTTAACAACATCCATTCTAGAACTTCAGATGTTTAACTGCAGTTTTCTTAATAAGATTAAATATCTTTAATCAAAGATTATTCTCCTCTTGTTAGAAATGTTTCAGCCCGTGCTTTACTCTCGCGTGGGGTAGGCAGGGAGCTCGCTGCTGGAGGCCTCGTGCCTCTGCAGCGAAAAGGGAAAAAGAGGCAAAACATCTCAGGAGCTTTTTGTGCATCATCTCAGCAGTGAAAAGCAAACTTCAGGCTTCTAGGCTAAGAATATGCCTACAAAACAGTCGTGCAGGCTATCTGCCCCGCTCCTCAGCAGGATCCTGCAGAACTATGTCCTGTTAACAGATCTATGAGTTTTTCTCCCCATCAGGCTTTTCATCCTTGTTGCACCTGGAGTGATGGCATTTTCATACTCACTTGCCACTTTCTCCGTAGCTGTCTAGGGAGGATGTTGTAGAAATTACACAAATCACCAGTGGGCAGCCTGCAAAGAAAGCAAAGTCAGTGGCAATATCAGTAACCAAAGTACCTCTTCCAGTAAACCCTGCAAGTTCAGTTAAACTTCATATGGACAAGAGAACAGCTCAGAGTCACTTTTAGAATTAAGTTTAACTTGACATCTTCCTGCAGCTGTCTAATAAAACATGTTTTAAACAATTAATGTCAGACAAACCAAATGACTTTTCAATAAAGTGCTAGTTTAACAGTTGAACAGAATTAGTGCTAATTTCATTGAGAATCATAGGCCTTTTTCAGCCTGTTTTTTGTTTATGTAATTTCTGTCTCTCGCTATTCAAGCAGTGATATCCTGCGGAGCAGCACCAGGCTTATTTTAACCACTTTCCCCCAAGTAAGTGCACCTTGTTCAAGAATTCAAAACAATCTGGAAAACAAAGTCGAGTTTCTCACAGGGGTGCAGGCACGAGGACAGAAATGCCACATTTAGTTATCCAGAGCATCACGCACAGTAGTGGCAGACGGTTGTGAAGAGAGAGAAGCAAATTAAGATCCCGCTCAGATGCCCAACCAAGACTTATTTTAACATAAATATGCCATAACCCCACGAAGATGTCTGTGTTCAAAGTAGACTGTGTTTCCAGATGGGTTTTGAGAGTTGTGGTGTGCTGCATCCTGGGGGGCAGAGGGGTGCTTTTGGGGATTGCACAGGAATTATGCAAAGGCAGAGGGCTGCGGTCCTGCTGTCCGGGAGCTGCGTGCCGCCGGCCCTCAGCACCGCGATACCCCGTCGTGTCGCTTTAGCGCAGCTTTCCAGACCAGGAGCTGGAGAGGAAGCAAGGCTTTTTTCTCCCAACAGTTCTGCATATAGTAAAACCTCATCCCCTTGAATATTAAATGATTTTCTGTTAATTCCTGTATGATTTAATAAAATTTGAAAGTTTGGGCTTTTATCATCTTATGGAATTTAATAACCAGGTCCCAGACAGAGTATTATACATGATAGCTTCAAGTTTCAATTTTCTTTTGAATTCTTTAGGTTTTCTGCATGAGGCTTTTACAAAATTCTCTGACAAGCAATTTGTGCTTAATCTTACCAATATCATCCTCACAAGATTCTGTAAAGTTTTCCTGTACTGGCAGAACTATAATTTTTTGGAAGAAGTATTTTGGTTCTTTAATGATTATGGCTAGAAGCACCTTGTATTTATAAATAAGAAAGATACTCAGTAGTTAAGAAGCAGCATCTACAGGCATTGTTTAGGTCTTGGCCTTCAAAACCCATTCTACAGGATGGAATTTAATATCCCATGAACTTGCTTCTGCTCCCCCGTGCCTGTCCAAATCAGGAATAACCCTTTAGAAGTAATATTTGTAAGACCAAAGCAAAGGCAAGATTTTAGTTTACTATCGCATTTGTCTATTTAAGAAAGGAAATTCCTACACACATTTGAACAAAACCAAGAATAATTATATTCAACAGAGCAATTAAGCACGGACATAAGCCTATCTGCTGAAACTCAGTCTGCCATGGGCACGTGGAGTACCTGAACTACAGGTCCCACAGGTATGTCTACAAATTCCCAATCTCATCTTCGGTTGCTGAGTAGACATTGCTGGTTGGCACTGCTTGTCTTCTGATGCAAGTTGTCTTTCCACAGCAGGGACTTTGTCACAGAAGCAGAAATACCTGTGCTCAAATACCTCTCCCTTATACTTCCAGTCTGCCTTTTTTTTTTTTTCCCCTCAAGTCAAATGCTGGATATTCAAAGGATTTAGAATGACTCTTTATCAATTTTAAATGGCAGTGAAGAAGGAAATTAAATACAGAGTTCCTTTGGAAGATAATAAAACTTAGGCAGATGAAACATAGAACAGTCATCTGCATAAAAAGAGCTGTTAAGTCAGTGAGAATAAAATGTTCTGCAGCCTATAGTGCAGTGTTTGCCTTTTCTTTGCTTTAACAAGATATTAAATGGATAATGGCAATGGAGACAGAACCAAGGTTTTGTTACAGTGAAACTGGAGTATTTTTCCTTTAGGAAACAACCATTCCATAAATTCCATAAAGGTTGAAAAAAAACCATATATTTACCCTAAGGGGATCATAAGATTTGATCTGGACTGAAGAATTCATATGGATTATGTATTATACACGAAAGTAAACATGTTTGCTTCATCTTTTGTCAGTAATAATTACATAAGAGCTGTGAAGTTTAGTCTACACCCGTAATAGGTAATGTTAATGTTTGCTGGCACACAACATCATCCATGAAAGAATTATGGTTATGGTTTTTTACCATATCTGAATGTTTTCTCAGTTAGCAGATGCTACAAATATGCTCACCAACCCTACTCCAAATTGCCAAATTTATGATGCAATAGACTGTGCTTTCCAGAGCAGAGTATCAGATGAAAATGTTCCAGCACACCTTTCTGGCAGCTGATCTATGGCGCTGGTGTAATCTCTGTCTCTGTAGCCCTGGAGCAATACAGCATCACATTCAAATGGGGTAAATCAACCCACATGGAACCCTGTGCTGCTGCAAGCCCAAGTCCTCCAGGTCCCCAAACCAGCTAATTTAAAGCTACCTCCCAAACTCAGCATCAAAATACAGCCTGCAGAGCAGGCGTAAACTCTTCATACCTGGGCACAGGAAGCCCAATAACACAATCCTTGCTCAGACAAAATTCTCCCTGAATTCAGCCCAAATACAGTCACTAGGGTGAAGTCTAGAATGAGTGTCAGCTAGGTCCTCTCCTTCAGCATCAAACTTCACATCTAATCCACTCGCTTTATGTTTCTGAGGCACTAATAAAATGGAAAATGCCTGTAAATCTGTACACTGTATTTTGAAAGCTTCTCTATCTTCTATACATAACAAGAAACCAGACAGGCTACAGAAACTCTGTGGTGGACAATTTGAAGCAATTTTAGGACATTAATTCTAAAAGGCTAAATATGTCATTTATTGAGGAAGATGAAGAATTAGACACAATTTAAAGTATATTTCCTTCCAATACTGAAAAGATCTACTTTACTTGATGGGGAAAAGTATATTCTCCCATTTGTTTTGTAGAAGTTAATTTTCTATGAGTTTCTTTTTCTTCTGCCACATTACATTGTATCTATGCTCAAGTCTGGGACTACATCAAGCAACTGCAAATAAAGAAATTTAGGTCTTTTGACAGCTTAGAACAAAATCTTCTTTCTAAGGTGGTCTCTAAAGGAAAGGAAATTGTCTGAAATAGGAAAACATGTTAAGGCCAAAGTGCCGCCGCAAAATCTCCAGTATCACAAACTGTACCATCAGCTTCCTACAAATGGGTGAGTGGGAAAAGTTTTGCTACAATAATCTGAGTGTGCTACGCTGAATCACCAAGGCAACGACGTTTCTTTTTCCCCCCAATCAATCTCAAGGTAGTTTTAAAGGTAAGTATATTATCACCTTCCTCAAATTGCTCTTCTTTTGAATTCCTGACAACTGCAGTCTTCGTGGTAATTTTAGCACCCTTGGGACTAGAGATAATACACAGGAACTTCAATCAGCTCTGCACATTTGGTATCCTGTCTCTCTGATTACTGTTGAATTCATTTTACAGGAGTAACGCCTCTCAGAAATCTCTACAGATGTTAGGACATCAGTAGTACTCAGTGTAGAGTTCCTTGTCCCTGTCTCCTCTCATTGCCTCGAGTTTCAATTTGTCATTAACTTTGCAAACTTTTACACATGTAACCTATCCCAGTTTTTCTGCTTAAATAAGAATGATGGGTCTGGGTTTTTAAATTCAGAACAGGGGTTTGTCATTATTCCAGCAACTAAGAGTTTGCAAAAGTCAGATGTGTTCACACTTCAATTAAAAGCAAAGAATGAAGAAATGAGCTGTCTGTTTTGACTAACATGAGTGAGACATCCTTGTCTGCAACGTCTTTCGGCCATCTTTCATCAGCATAATAATTGGCTAAAAACCCAGCCATTTTTATTAGAGACTGGAAAATATATAGCTATTATGGACTCAGGATGGCAGAAGAATGCCTGGCTTCCTTTTGACAGTTGCATTCAGTGCAAACATACTCTCATTTTAAGAGCCAAAAAAAAAAATTTTAGGACAAAAACTTTTTAGCCTCTTTCCCCAGCATTGCAAGACTTCTACTTAGATCTGGGAATTTTATGGAATATATATAACCTCTCTCTATTGTACTTTCACCGAGTTCATGAAGGAACAACCCAAACTCTACCCTGTAGAACATGAGCGCACACTGCTGCTGAAGGCAATCCTGACGCTTGGGCTGTAATTAAACATTTCTCTTCACCTTCGGTGCCAATGTGCTAGCAAAAGGAAAAGCTGGGAACTGACAAACCTGAGTGTCCCTTTAAGCATTTAAGTAGTGAACACTGCAATGTGGATTTTAACTCTAAAACCATCATTATTCAGCAACATCTATTACCACCTGAATGAGCATTAGAGTTAGGTACCAGGCAGTGAGTTGTGATGCTGTTGACAGAATGAAGGTTGCCCTGATACTTATCAAGAGATAAACAATGTGGAATGCAGTTGCCTAGTTAAATTACTTCAGGGATGTTTAGACACACTTGAAGCAATGATGTGATGTCAGATATGATTAAGGAAATTCAGCACTTAATTCAAATGTAAATACTTTGAGCTATACAGAAAAAAAATAAAGCAATGCAAACTACTTTCCCTGCAACACAGTAGATTTACTGGATTTCAGAAAACACATTTTTCCCCAAGTCATTGTAGGAATAATAGTTTGAGCATGCTTTCCAAAATTAAAATATTTGTCAAAAAATGGCTTTTGAAAGGTTTACAAAGAAACGTATTACTGTTATATGGATGATGTCTTCCCCTATCTGCCTCCAACAGTACCTTTGCTGCATTTAAGAAACAGAGCTTGCCATCAGATTTTTCACACAATACTTGCCAACAGCATTGCTAGAATTGATATAGAAACTTCTACTGCTGGTGCCTCCTGTGTTTTGCTACACACATCTATTTTGATGACAAATACCGACTGTTGGGCATGAGAGATTATCATCCAAAGCATTGCTCAAAATACCACTGAAGAGACTTTTCAGTAACCACATTTAACATCCCATTGGGTTATGTACTCATTGTGCTAATTACTACTAATTGAGTGGTAGCAATCATATTGTAATAAAATGAGGGAAAATGCAACATTTAGTACTAGTCATATCACAGCCAGATGCCATGTTTATCCTTGTGTCTTCTAAATCACTTCGTAGATCGCTGCCATTTTACAATAAATAAACCTTACACAAAATGCCAGAAAAAAGGGTAAAGGTGCATTGCAGCATATATAAATCATTTACTTATTTTCACAAGGTAATTAATGATTGATTGTAAATTGAGTTAATCAAAGCATCTGCTATAAGCAAATACCCCAGTGAATTAAATGCCAGTTGTTATTATATTATTAACCGTGGTAGCTTTTTATATAATATTTCTGAAGGAGAAAGAGTTCCCAAGGGCTTATGAGAACATTTTCTTTGGATTGATCTGCTTTAATTTGTATTCCATGAGCTCTGGATTAAATAAATCTACAAGAAACCTCTCTATCATCAGCATGTTTCTCTAAATTTAGCACTGAATCTAGGGGAATCTACATATCTTCAATGTCTTCAACCCTCAGCCTGTCTAGGTTCTCTTACTTTGGGGTCTACGTCATGAAAAATATTCATTACTCCACTTAGCCTGTTTTGAGCAGTGGTTTTAGAGAAAGAAAAAAAAAAAAAAAAAAAAAAAAAGATGTATTTTACACAACTCTACTAAAACCCCAGCAAAATGGCTATCAAATGTTTTCAGCAACAAAGGTTTAAGATGCATGCTGTTGGAAAGCAAATTGGCCATTCCTTAAGAGAAAAATCTATCTTAAAGCAACCAGGATAAGGACACATGTATGTGATACAGAGAAACAACGTGGGCAAAAAACTTCTAAGCAAACTGCAGATTGCCCCTTAGCCTAGCAGATATTGTGTTCACCAGAGGGCTGTATCAAATGGCCCTTAGACAGAACTGTGAAGAAGGAGATTTTAAAATGAAAAAGGAATTATGTACAGAATAAAAAGGCCATATTAAAAAAAAGGACAAGTAGACAGCTGTGAAATATATATATATATATATATATATGCAGTGAACAGCATTATTGCCATCCAGATCTCCATGGTGCCAACAGGTATTAAATACTCCAATTATGACTGCAGTAGGTCTGTATTATTAATTGGTTTTCATTCACCTTCCAAATGAATTTGGAGGGAGAAGATAATGCATGTTTTAACACATTTTGAAATTATCTGTAATTACATAGATACTCCTTTGCCATCTTTTTATATTTCTCCTTTTGATTCACTATATGAGGTTTTCTTCTTCTAAATGAGGAGGTTTGTCAAGCGTCATGGCTGTACTTCCAGGACAGTGAAAGCAAGCTAGTTTTCATCTGCCGTGAAAAGTCTGGAACAAAATATTCAGTTTTGATTCCTCAATATGCACACAGATTATGCTTTCATTACTGCATATAAAAAGCTGTGAATTGTTATCTGTGAGATTCCTGTGTCATAGGACTACTTTTTTATTCTTAATAATAACATTGAGGTTCCGTACAGCCTTTTTCATCTGAGGATTTCAAGGCAAAAAACATCAACTAATGAAGTCTTGTGATAGTCCCGTGCTACTGCGGCAAATTTTTATGTATGGATTGCAGAATACAGATAGAATAAGCCACTGTTGTGAGTTAGGACCGAAAAAAAGAACATCGCAGTGCAGCGAGACCTCCCTCCCACACTCCTACTATTGATTTGGTAATTAAGGGTCTGATCTGGCCTCATGAGGTCACGGAACTCAATGTAGTGGAATTAGGTTTAGGGACTATACATCTTAAAGTCTGATTACAGCCAGAAAAATTGTGCATTTTCTTATCCAACAGACCTACATTCCAGTAAGGCAAACTATGATGATCATAAGATGACAATACTTCTGAATATAATCTTTTCCTACAGTGAGGAGACTTAAAGCAAGCAGCTACTAAATGCTTACCCCATCCAATTCCGTAATAATATAAGTGCTTGCTCTCTTCTGACCCAAATACTTTGATCACCATACTGTAAAGATGAAATCCTTCCACCAGCATCCATGCAAAAGCACTCAGGAAGAAAAAATGAAGGAGAATGGCCAAGATCTTGCAAGGCACCTAAATTAAGAACAAAAATTAATACATTACTTCTTCATGATGTAGTCGCATTCATTTTCATTTTCTGGTTTTTTTTAGTTCCTGTATACATTTACACAGTAAACCCTAAATTACTGGAGTAAAACGGAGTTAAAAACAAAGCACTAGAGAATTTCATTTTTCTACAGAATTTTCAGGTAGGTTCAGAGTAACAAATCCTCTTACCTTTTAACAAAAAACATTGCCAAACATGATGGGAAATCCAAACTGATTATTTATTTATAATAGTAGGAGCAATACTCCTATTAAACTCTACAAAATATTTAAGAGTTCAAAACTGAAGGGTCAACATCCTGTTGCTGAGCCTGTAGTAAATACAGGAGAGTCAAACTGGGGGTGGAGGCATAACCCTGCTCCCTGTTCTGTGGTGGTAAAAAACCCAGCATAGTTCACGCCTTGTTTTCTATGAAGAACTGGTAGAAAGTCAGTGGATCAGTTAAGCTTGAGTGAAACACGGAAATGTTAAAATAAGGTGCCGTGTTGAACTTGTTGTTTAGTTACGCATTGCCATGTGACTTTCCTACTTTGCTGTTCTTCACATTAAAAACAGGATAACACACAAAAATAAGGTGCCGTGTTGAACTTGTTGTTTAGTTATGCATTGCCATATGACTTTCCTACTTCGCTGTTAAATCACAGTGTATTCCAGTGTCTGTCTGTCTGTCCTGGTTAGAGATTCTGTAAAAGTCTCATATGCTCCTCCATCAGCAACACTAATACAGACATTTCAAAAAATCATAGCAAGCTATCATCGGCTCTTCAGTCCTAATTGCTCTGTGGTGAGCATCTAGATTACCTGCCTGTTTGAATTCTCAATTTCCCATAGTCTGAAGTATGCACCAGCTGTATATGCAGTCATATTTGACAAGAACACATCTAGTGATTAAGGCAAAGAACTGAAAGCCTTCTCTGTGGGTGTTTACAGACAATTCCAATACTCCTTGATAGGCCTTTATTCACTATGTTCTATCAAGATTCTGGAAGCAGGAGTTTAAGCAGCAGCAAAATACCATCTAGAAAGCGAGCACACCTGGTGTAAAGTGGTGTAAACTGTAAATCTGTTTCAATTTAAACTATAGCATGTTTTGAAGCGAAACAAATGGTGCCCCAAAGGAGAGGAATGCCATGCCTAAGGCAATGCAGCAAGAAGTAAAAACAGCCTCTTGAATCCTGTTTACTCCTGCCTCGGTGCTTATGGCCCACTGTGGGCTACAGGAAAGGCAGTCTGGGCTTAAGACCAGACTTTTCCTTAAGTTGCTCCTCAAAGGGATCTTTACATTTTTCTCTAAATCTCCTATCAGCCTACCTTATGAAAACAGGAAAACCTAATCCTTTCTTCTTCCCCACTCCTCACGTACTGGCACAGCACATTCTCCTTTCCCCACTAATTGCTTTTCGAGGATGTCTCACCACAAGTGGTTTCGCTCATCATACAGTAATTGAACAGATGTGACTGCCAATGATCTTACCACAAGATAACCTTGTTTTGTTTGCTTTCAGTTAAGGCACATTTTGAACACACTCTTGGAACGAGTCCCAGCTATATCTCAGTTTTGCATCTTGTAGCATACTGATGATGGTCATTCTGCTCTGTAGTTGTAACATCCCTTCTGTGACACCTACAGAATTTCAGAGGGGTTGCTTGCATGCAGCCCATGTAAATGGGAAGACCTTTTTTTTCTGCAAGGTCTCCCTTCCTCACCCAGACAAGTCACAGTAAGGTACCCAGGCAGCTGGAGTCCATGTGCAGACGAAGCATCACCAGTAGGAACCAGTCTGCTGCCACAGGGGTCTTTAGATGTTAATAAATTTCCTCTGCTGCATTAGCTTAGCTGCCTTGTGCTGGCATTCTATTCTTTTTTGGATGGTTTGGGATTTTGTACACTAATGAAAATTAAAATGTTGGGACTTGATGGTATAATGAAAATTGAAGCTTTCCCGTACCTTCCCACTTCTATTCAGCTGGTTCTGTGCTAGTGCAAGGACATTCTAATGCAAATCCACTGCGACTACATGTATTGAAAAACAATAACTTTGGTTTTAATTCATGTAAGTGCGTTCTGGAAGTTTTTTAGTATTTCACAATGTTCATTGACATATAACTAAACCAGATTCGCTTGTTGACAAAAACTGTAAAAAGCTTTCCAGTTAATTTTATCATAAGGCTGTGAAATCCATTCTAATGCTTTTTGATTTCTACCAGAAGATTAGTCCACAAAAATAAAAAAGCAACATAAAGCTGACTTACAAGCCAGTTCTGTCAAATGGATACTTGCCAATTTTTGAGTAGCCCAACAATATGAATCACAAAACAGCAGAAAAATGAAACATAGTGAAGTAGCAGAAGACTGGTCTGTATATAATTTTGTATAGTACTGAGTTGCAGATTTTTACATGAAATCCATAGCAAAGCTGTTATTCATTTTGTATTTCTGCCTTAATTATTACTTTGAAAATACTCTTAAATGACTGGATTTCTTCTTGAAAAAGGCATTGAAAAGCTGAGACTTTACATATTAAAAACAAGCAGGTGTCCCTTGCGGTATCATATGATGCACGCTGCTTCTGGTAGAACACCTGTAAAAAGACAGATCTCATTACTGTTACTCTTACAGTTGACTACTTGTGACTCAGTGGAAATAGAAAAATCAGTCCAGCCGGTAGCAAGGCTTATCATGTTATAGTTATTGAGAAAGTAAAGCAGACTCTCAGAAAGGCCTCTCAGAAAATAATAGTCATTTGTTTACTGAGGACAGTCTTAAAACAGATAGGTAAATTTGCATGCATTTTCTAAATTCAGCTTATAATAGTTTTTGTGATGTAAGCAGCAATCTTACCGCATTGTACAGAAGCCTCTGAAAAAGTCCTTCCCTGCAATCTATATGCTGCTTTGATACGCAGCCTTGAATTTCTGCAGATATATATATCATAAACAAAAGCAGCTCATTTCATCCCTCTATTTGGAAGTGTTTTAAGCAATGCCATTGCAGGAGTACTGAGTGAGAAACAGCTCAATACACTGATGCAGAACTGCAAATAGTAGACACATTAAATTTTCCCGTTGTGCCGGAAAAGCACAGTGCTGCCTAACACACTCTACTTCAATTTTCATTTTCCTATGTCTAAATAACACTTCACTTTCTCCCACAAGCATGCTCAGGTCTTTGGAAGGTTTTAGTAGCCTAAAGATGGTTAATTATTTTTAAATGCATGCTGCTGTTTGGGATTCTGTTAAAAAAATAGTGCTCTCTAGACTATAGCAGAGAGTAGAGTAAGAGAGCAAATCTCTGAAGAAACAAATCCATCTATTGCTGAAAGTCTAAGGGAAGTCATTAGACTGGCAAGTGGAAAGCAAACATATCCTAGGCACTTGGCAGCATAGGAAGAAAATGCTGTGTGCAAAGATAGTTGCTTTCTTTAGAAGATATCCTGGTTTCGGGAATAATTCCCCTCCTGGAATATGCCATGATCATTTAGGGCTATTGTTTTAGCACTACTGATGTTAGGGATCAAGGACCAGCTTTAAAAAAAAAAAGCTTTTGGCTGTATTAGAAAGATTTGAGGTCCTATTTGTGGAAATAGAGCTTTGTGGTTAAAAATTACTCCTACTCTACAAAAGGAAAATTGCTGTAGTATAAATTGCAAATGATTAAATAATACATCTGAAATTACCAAAGGAATACTGTATGCTATATCTGGAATCAAAAACTAAATATCCCTAGAGATGGAGATGGGAAAAGGATGGAGAGTCTAAAGGCAGTCATGCAAGAAAGCAGTGCCAGCTCATGGCCTCTTTCTATGACGCCATTCCCTATTGCACAGTGTTTCCTCAAGCAAACTGGTACCACTTGTCCTTTCAAGCAAGGGCACTTATAAACTGTTGAGCCCTAGATACACCCATCTTGGCAGGAGCAGAAGATTAAGGAATTTACACCTTCTAGTGTAAACACTGCCTCCCTCTTTTTGTAAACTACCATTTAGCAGTGCAATCAAAGCAGACATTAAGGGTATTAAAACTGGTGTCAAAACTAGTGAGAACAGAGGATGCAGAAGATAAGGACACTAATACAGGATGAATCACAACACCCCTGATCCCAAGAGGCTAAAACAATAAAAATAAAAGTGTAGCAGGTAGTCTATACATCATGCTTTTCAATTCTAAGATTTTCACAGTATTGTACCCTACGATTACTGCTGTTACAGAGGAGATAGGGCTGAAATATCCATGGTTCTGTGAGGTGTTTCACTTCGGAAAGCCTGTGGCATAAAACAGTTCTTGCTTTCTGTGTGCTACTGTTTCAATTAATTAAAGTAAATTTTGAGTAGTTTTAAGAGAAATGAAATATACAGCTATTAAACTACAACTTAAGTCTATGTGAGTGCACCACAAGCTTAGCTGCATCTGCTTAACTAAACAAGCAAGACGTCTGTGTGTGGGTAAGGCATATTATACATGTAGCTGGACACTGAGACAAGTCTTGGGAGAACACAGTCTCTACCTACATCCAACTAAAAAGAGGAAACGCAACTGGCATTTCATAGAAATTATAAGACTGGAGGCCATGATAAGGTGTAAAGAGGCTTTTACACATGATCTGAAGTGACTCAGTTGGACTGTCTGAAAATCTGGAATGGATGAAAAAGGAAAAACTGTGAGATTAAGACATCCTGTTATGCTGAGTGAGCGTTTTATTGCCCTCCACCTATGTCCTCTCAGCAGAGTTCTAGCTCTATACTTAGGATTATTTCAATGCCTGGTTTCCATTGTCTTCAGTTTCAAATCATACCTTTTGCTGCTCTCCACTGTCCCCATTTAATTTTCCTTCTAAACCATTCCCTATCAATTTCTCCCTTGCTCAGTACCTTACTCATTCAGGACCTACCTGAATGTTAAACAGCAAAAGAATATGAACTTAGTTTTACAAAGTGCTTTTAGATTCCCCAGCATTAATAGCCTGTGTAGAACATACAATATTGTTATTTATAAACTTAACAGATGTTAAAGGGATCCAATTTGATCTGAATATAAATTTATGTAGCTTCTGTATTAGCAAAATGAAGAATGTGCAAACCTCATATTTACTTTTACTGATAATAAAAAGAATAAAAGATCAATAGAAAATGCTCACTCCTTGTCAAAAGTAATATGGAGCAACTGCTGGTCACCAAAATAGCCAAGTTTTGACCATTACAAAAACAGAGCACCCTGGAAGATTATTGTGAAATCAGGTTTTCTGCTTTTTGCAAGTGGGACTTCCCATCAACAGATCCTATGTTACTTTAAAAAGCATTTTTTAAACACAACAGTGGAAACAAATTGGTTTTACTGGTATACAATACTGTTAACTTGGCATATTCGTCTTAATCTAACCCAGCTGTTTTAGATGCCAGTTTTAATGGTTTAGATCCTGGTACTCTGCATAAGGAATTCCCACCTGTAGTAGCATAAAATCAATCTGTAATTTCAAGTTCCAATCTATGTGATCAGGCAGAAAAAGCGTATACATGCACAGAGCTTAAGCACTATGTAAGCAATATGAAGGTGTTTGTCATTTGCTTAAGTCGTTGCCTTAGATGCCCAGAGAAGTATATACATGTTTTGCAATACTGAAGATCTCAGATTAAACTCTTACACAGCAATACTTAGAGGTAATGCTTTCTGCCACCTCTGGCTAATTGAGCAATAGTTGCTATACCTTTCTCATTGATTATTACTCAGGTCAAATAAACATGAACGATACTTAAAAATAATCTAAATTTGCAGAGCAGAAATAATGATCAATAAATCTGCTGTTGAGAAAATCAGCATATTCTACCACACAAATAAAACTTTACGAGCAAAAAACAAAGGCCTTCTGTTTTGCTCTCCAAGAAAGCAGAAATTGCTACAGCTCCATCAGGAAGTTCATTACCTTCCAACAAGAATAAGATGACTTTTTAATGTGAAAAAAAAAAAACCAAAACTCTACCATAGCAGAGAATACACAATTAAAAAAAAGAACACCACCCCCCTCCAAAAAAAAAAACCCTAATAGAAATAGAAATGCTTTACCCAAATACAAAATTCATACAAATTTCTCCAATACAGAATTCCTACAGTTTTCAATACAGAGAATGGATAAGAGAAAGCATAAGCCATGCCAGGCAGAAGTCAGCCATGCCATCTGAACACACAACTAAACCTTTCCCATATGATGGCTGCATATCTCTTTCAGTTTTGCAAACATCCAGACATGGCCAGATGCTATGGTAACACTACTTGGATGCACAGAAGGCTTTATTCAGTGTTGTAGATGTCATTTTTGGCTAAGGCGGGTTAAAAATAGGAGATCTCACGTGCAAGACACTTTCTTGCACATGGCATTCGTTCCACGGAGGTGCCTCATAAAAACCACACTCACTCTTTCTAGCACTTACCGTTCCTGGGCTGAACTGAAAGCTGGTGAGAAGCAGGATCTGAGCCACCAAGACAGCAAAGGACAGATTGGCATGGATATGATAGCGCTGGTTGCGGATGGTGCTGACAGACCTGGCAGAAGATAGAAAGACACGTGAATACAACAGTATTTCAGGAAGAACCAACATATTTATGATTTATCAGCAAGCATTTTGATTGGCTTTTGGTCACTCATTTTGGTGGGGTTATCACGATGTCTTTTGAGCACTCCTTCCATCAGGACGGAGTTGTACCTAACTGGTTTCTTGCATATTCTGCTGCAGTCCTGAAGGCAGCAGAAAGACCGATTGGCACGTTAACCAGCTCTGCTAATGACTTGTGATAGAATATTAACAAAGGGCTTGATCCTGAATGGCGCTGAGCTGTCAAGAAAGTCAGAACTGCACCTCACAGAAAGCATACTGCACCTTGCACCATCAAGCCTACACCGTGCCACAGTTTCTGGTTTTGTTTTGTTTTGTTGGTATTTGCCTGTATTTTAAATAACTGAATGTGAAAAAGACTCTGGTTACAATTTTTACTTTACTATTACCAGCTTGTGAGCACCGGAACTACAGCTACTTATGTGGATGGGCAGTGCTTACCTTGACAGAGACCTGACCTTGATTAGAACATCATTTGAACCTATCTCTCTTGGCTTTGCAAAAACCAGCTGGAAATCTGACAAGAACATGCTTTCCTGGGAGTCTTCTGACCTCATATTTCTGTTCTCCTCCAGAAATGGGAATTAGAAAGCAAATAAAAACATTTATCTGAACATTTCAGGCCTTTCACATAATTTTATTCTTCTCTTTAAGAAAAGAACAGTACCAGCAATAACAGGTTTTCTATTTCAATCCATACTGCCTGCCAGCCCCTACCGTCAGCTTTAATCATTTCAGGAGAGCCGGACCGTTTGGCTGTGTGAACGGCAGTGCTTCCTCCACACAACAGTACGCACTCCCCTCTGTTTGTTGTATCACGCTGGATGGTGATGACTTTTGCAACCACTGGTGACCCATCGTGTGTGCCCCCTGCAGCAGGGTGACACAGACTGGAGAATGCAGATGAAGGCTTGCTGTCAGCCCTGCTCTTCCAGCACTGTTGCAGCCAGTGCTCCATTAGAAGGGAGTGAAGAGGGAGACGACAAGAAGTATCGATGTCCTAAAAGTAATGAAGAGAGGCAGGCTGCACCTCCTGGTGCCAATGGCTTTCTAATAAGGAACTTCATGTAGTCACAAACTGGAACATCGTTACCCAGAAGGCAATCAGGACTGCCCTCCTGGGAAGCAGCCGTCGTTGCCAGTATGTGGACTAGCAAAGAAGTTGCCAGATTCCTCTCCACTTACCTCATGGTCATCTAACACTACATTGCAAAATTTCACTTCAGCTGTTTAATGAGGCCCTGCTCTCCAGTGGAAACCTAATCAAATTATTTTTAATTGGCAGTTTGAATGATCCTGTATGTAGGTGGGGTGCTTAACCCTGTGACAGTCAGCTGGGTCCAAGCTCTCTTTCCAAGTCTTCTGTTTGCCTCTGGTTTCTTCACAAGTTTTCAGCCCCGCTGCAGCAATACCAGCTCCTTTTGCTCCTTTTTCCTTTTTCACTGTAACATCCAGTTTTGCACTCAGACAAAAATGGAGCAGATCACTCCCCTTAGCCTAAACATGCCAACGGCACAATGCCAGATAGGCAGACGTTGGACTTATTTAGAGTGGATTTTGCCATGCATTACGCACTTAATCCAAGTATGACCAACACAGATCTTGAGACTTGGAAATAATACGGGGTTTGGAACAAACAAACATTGCAGTCAGTTTACTGGGTTTCAGCAAGTCCTTTTTCCTAGAAACTGGCCTCTTAACAGGATGTCCAAAAGTCATGCTTAGGCACAGAAATTAAAAATTGAACTCTTGAGTAGGAAGAACAATGTTTAGTGGGTGAGACAAAAATCCCATTCCTCGCCGTGCTCCCAATCTGCTGCGCAACCTCGGACAAATTACGTCGCCCCTTGTCAGGTTTTCTGTTTTTTATTTAGACAGAAATCTCTGTGAAAGCTTTTCCAGGAATGTTTGTATCAAGCCTAGCTGGGCCTCAAACTCAGTTGTCACAACTGGATTATAAACACGCATGAAGACCCCAAGTGCCCCGTGGCAGAAACCTTACCAGTGCAGAGAGCCCTTGAAGGGGCCGCTGTGTTACAGCCAGGAGGCTGCAGAGATCCAGAGGATTTAAACATAAGTCTTGGAGTGAATTTCACACTGCCTATGGTGTCCTTCATCCTACTAAAGCAACACATTAGAAAACTAGCCTAACTGAGAACAGCAAGACACTTGAAAATAAATGTGAGTTATATGATGTAATTGTGTACAAGCTGTTGTATGAAACAAAAGTGAGGCAGCCAACATTGACCGAGCCTTCCTTTCTAGGCATACCTTTACATACGCACTGCCTTACAGACAAGACAGTTGAAAAGCAGAAATAAGTACTGATTGTACACTCCAAGCAATCCAAAGATGTATGTAGGGAGGGAAAGGGGATGACCCTGCAGTCCTTGCTCATATTGTGCTTGCTCTGAGCTCCAGACCAAGTCCTCCTACAGCCTCCTTGCAAGATTCCTGAACTGTAGCAAAACATGAAGAGTTTAAAAAAAAAACCCCAAGAATTCCTCATAGGCTGGAAATAGGTTGCTATATAAAGACCACCCCATTTCAGGAAATGAAAGTAATTTAGAAATAACCAACCAACTGTTACAAATACATTTGCAGAATCTAATTAAGGAAGGTTGTAGAATTAATAGCCTTTGTTTTATCCTGAGCACCTGAAGGGATCCTAATGGGTGTCCTGAAATGCACTGCTCGGCTTTCTGCATGACAGTTGCTCGGCAGGTATTAAGTTAAAATTACTCACGACAATATAGCAAATGTGACCAGAGTGATCATCAAGCAGAAGATGGACAGAGCGCAGCCAATATAAGTGATGGAGGAGAGGGCCACCTGGTGTTCTCTTGTTAGCTGTACACAAAGGAAAAAAAGAAATAAAAACTATTAATCGATTTATTATACTGCGGAGCCACAGGTCAGCCCCCCTGCACATAGCATTTCCTCCTCCACCCGCCCGTATATGAGCTGATGTTTGCAAGCATTCGCTGCTGTTTCTAACACGGGAAATGAAGAGCCAGCTCCAAACTTGGTCACACAGCCAGGGCATCCACATGCCCGAGGCATTTTGGTTCCCTCTTTTATTTCATAAATCCGTATTTCCTCAGAATAAGTTCGCTTCTCTGCTGCTGCGATATTGTCGAGCCTGAGATTAGAGCGGTTTATTGGGCTGCACAAACAATGTCAGCAATGGGATCTTTCACAGCTCGCGGGGCACTTTGCTAATGCTCTCACGCTGCAATAATTTACATCATTGTGCAAATACCAGAAGTGCTTCACAGCAGTGAGAGCTGACAAACCAAGATAACCCATAAATCACAGGCCATTTACAGCCCACTTGTTTTGTTTAATGTATCATGTTTTCAGTGCCTGTTGAAGGAGCTGGACTGACATCTACAGAATGGGAAACCACAGAATAGACCCAGCATGAGCAGTCAATGTAAGCCCCTTGTCTCAGCCTCTGTTTTTATCTACAGACACCTTTTGTAGAAGTAATTAAATTTTCATGAATATTTAATCTGTAACTCCATAGTGCCTGCCATCAGGACTTATGTTAAAACCTGGATGGATTCAATGGGGGAGGGACAGTGTATTTTGACCATTCATCCTAAATTAATCAGAGAATGTGCTTTAATTTTCCATGCAAGTTCTCATAAAAGAATGACAAAAAAGCCACACCCAACAAAGGGAGCCAGGCAGTATTAATATATAATAAGTAGAACAGAGCTAGGCAGGAAAAAGTTTTCTCATCTCAGAAGAATTTTCAAATATTTTTTTCTGGCTTGAATTTGGATAGAGTTGACATTTTCATAAACTGAACATTTGAAAAAAAAAATGTGTTCAATCAAAAAGTTTGAATTTTGATACTTGAAATACAATGTTTTTATTTCAACATCTATTCACTATAAATTAAATTCCTAGCTGAAAACTCATGCAAAATATTTATTTATTCTGAAAAATACTGAAAGGACCAATATATTTTCCATTTTTTTTACAGTAACTCTATCCAATGAAAAATAATCCTTTCTCAGTTTCAGATTTTCTATTACTTCTCCCTGCACACAATAAAAATTCCCCCCAAACAAAGTATTTAATCAGAGATTATCAAACCTAACCAGTGTTACCACTAAACTTCCCATTAAAAATCCTTTTAAAGCAGAGAAATAACATACCATGTGGTTATGAGAAAAAAAAAGTTAAATACAGACAAAAACTATGCGTTATGTACATTTTTTTGTAATTATCTGCCAACAGTCTCCACTCACGTGCAGTAACTTTTACAGCAGAATAGATTGTGGCTCGCTCAGCAATCTGAGAACTGTTAAGCGATGCAGCAGCAGCACTGGAAGACAACTGTTGCTATGGTGTTACAGTCCCTACGAAATATGATGCAGCTCTTCAGTATTTTTTCTCTTTCAGCCAAAGACACATTTCTTTTCCCTGACTTGGATAGCATCAATTACAGAAACAAAAGGGTTCTGTGTGCTGGCCCAGCTTAAAAGGTCCACGTAATTTCTACAAAAGAGCTCCTGTCGTCCCTCATCCCCCAGAGAAGCCATGTATAGCCATTCTTCACAGATTATTCCTGAAATAGGAATAACTTGTGTGGTAAATTGGGCAGTTTAGAAGCGATTTCCTCATCAGGGATATTCACGTCCAAAATGCATGGACCTTATGTCCTGATTGCTCCAATACACATGCCTTTCTCTTGCTACAGGTGGCTCGCAGTTCTACAGAGGGAGGAGGGGAGCAGAGGAAGCTTTTCCAGCTTTGAGTCGCTCCAAAATCAGTATTTCTCAGCAGTTCAAGGCTTGCTTTCACTCCTTTCACTCCCAACACCTGCAGCCAGCAAATGTTCCCTACAGAGGTCAAAGCTGCTCAGTGCTCATTTAGATTTACAGTGGTCTGTCACAGTGTTTGCATTGGCAAAGGCAGATAAGATCTGCAAAGGAAAGGTGATGTCTTACGTACAAGTACAGAAGATACAGGGGATCCATCTAGTGGAAATGGGCAAAAATCAAAGCCTTTGTTTTTTTCTATAATACATCCAAGAGAAGATAATGATCACACAAACACCTTTTTCTAACTAATTTCTATCATAACTAACATGCCTCTAAGAAAGCCTTTCCCTGGGTTTTAGCTCAGTCTTCCTCCAGAAACCTCTGCAGGGCAAGACAAGACAAGAATCAAGTTCTCCCAAGTACAGCCTATATTACTTAGAAACGAAAAGGAGGGGAAAAAAAAAATCTCTTATCAACAAAGTGTAGAAGATTCATTCAAACCTAAAATAACCTACATAGGTCCCCGCATCTATGTACTGGAAATTGCTTTTGCTCTGGTAAATGCAACCAAAATCTGATGCTGCTTTAAGAATGACAGTCTCAAATCAATACCCACATCAGTCTGGTAACAACTATTTCAAAAGCAACATTGCTGTAAGTTCCCATTCTCATCTTGCCTAGTGTGAGGGACAGAAAGCCTGTAGGTAGTTTTGGACCAATTTTTGTTTCTTAAGGAAGAGGTGGAGCCTGCAATAGCTGTTATCAAACATAACTGTCAGGCTGGAGGAGTGGGAGAGAGCTGTCCCTGTTCACAGCGACTCCAGCTGGTGAAACCAGCAACTGTCTGTGGGTGACATGAATTGCAGGGGGAAGGATACAGCATGAAAAGAAGGCCTGGAATGATTTCCAGGGTGTGGAGCCTCATTGCTAAATACAGTTATACGGTGCGGGAGAGGAGAGAACCTGTATTTAAAATATCAGGTCTCTGCTAACTTCTCACAACCCAGCTTTTACAGCACAGCTGGATGTTGTGTGTCTCTGTTCACACTGTAAGGGAGAACAAGCATGCAGTTTTTTAGAAATACATGGATCATCAAAGCATTGTACATCATCAATTAAGAAACAATTTCCTATAAATTCCAATGCTCTGATACGAGCTGATTTCATTTTACCTCAGCTTGCCTTTTTTGAAAATTTTCAGACTTTGTGCATGATGTGGAATATAAGACAGTAATTTGGGATGATCTTGTAGTCAGCACAAAAATGCTAATCAGGCTGTAATGCTATTACTAGAGAAAATAGCATTTAAAAGTACCAAATAAAACGCTGAGCAATCTGTGAAGGAGTCCCATGAGCCTGATTCTCACACTTGTCCCAATCTACATCAAATTATTCTTTTCTTCTAAAAGGCTTTGCTTCTTTGAGTTTATAAGGTCATTCTCTTACTCTGCAGCAAGCTGTAAAGCTAGGAAACGAGCTCATGCAGTCATGAGTGTTAGTAATCATGAACACCAAAAGACAGATGTTTCTTAGTTTCAGCTTCAACAGTCAAATCAAAAATTCATACTCCATATAAAACTCCCACCCTTTTAGTTTAGGCTGTAACACCTTTTACCTTGCAACTGTCGTTAATAGCACAGACAAAGATCTGATGGTTTCAGTAGTTACACCCATCCGTAATATTACAGTCTATTGTTTTACCCTCGTTCTCACTCATAAAAGAAGTTAGTACATTGCTCAAAATTTTTATTTTGGAAACTCACAGGCAACCAGATGGCCTGAGAAAAGATCCTGGAAAGATACCAGTTCAGACTCCAAATACATATTTTTCCTTTATGATGTTGTTAATAACAAGAAAATGAGTGACATCTAACTCCTCTGTTTAAAAATAACTGCAGAGGAAGATGAAAATAGATTATTATAATGGGATGGTACTTTTCATCTCTGGAGTATCTGGAAAAGGTCAGCTGAGGCTGAAAGACTTGCTTGGCTGTACATGAAAAATTGTTTGATCTGTATCTAAAACAGAAAACCTACTTATTTATGTAACATTAATGAGCAACTATATACAAAACACAGTGCAACAACCCATCAAAAAGCTAAATGGGCTACAGAAACACAAAACAGCAACTGATCAGATCAGAGCATCTGTCTGGGCAGTACGGGGCGCTCCCTGCTCAGCGTCCCCTTCCAGGCCTTTTTCTCTTTATTCATCTCTCAGACAGTTGTCTGTATGTTTCTGCTTTGCAGAGAGGGTACGTTTGGCTTTCTCCAGAGGAAGGGACATTTTGGGGAAGTACTAATCTAAAATTTTCTTCTTTACATACTGCAAAACATCCCTCTGTGTCTGCCTTTAGAGACAACATGCCAGGCAAAGGGCTGAGTTCAAACACTTGAAACAAGGTTTGTCATAGCTGATCCTGAAAGGGTTTGTCTGTATACCAAATTACAACTTCACAGTTTAGCCACCCAAAGCGGTAATTTCATTGTCTAAAATACTTTTGAAATTTCCTTTCTGAAAAGCAATTCATCTTCTTCCAAAAAAAACCCCAAACCAAACCACAAGTGCTTGAACCAAAAAAAGTTTTACAGCCTTAAAAAAGAAGCCCTGCAATCTAAGGACTATATCATACCGATCATTTGTATTTTAGAGTTACTTACTGGTAGAACAGAGTATATTGTATTTTTGCATGTGCTTGTATGCTGTACACATTTTATGAAACCAGAGTTATTTGTTTACTGGTGGAAATGTGAGACATGACAATTGTATTTTCCCCTAAGTCGAAACATAAGAGCAAGTTATATTTTGGCGTTGCTGTTGGTCAGCTTTCCATCTCAAAGAAGCATTCCTACCAGGAAGTTTCTTACAATGACGTATGGTTTTTACCCTGTTTATCGAACCAACTGAGATCTGCCATGAGATGATCAGCCGCTGGCCTGGGCTGAAACCCACTCCCAAACCCTTCTGCAAAGGCTTGAAACGATATCTTATGAGACATTGGGGGGGGGGGGGGGGGGAGGGAGGAGAGGTAGGGGTGAAAAATTAAGGCTCAGCCAACCCTATTGAAGCTG